ATAGCACTAGTTACAATGACATAAATTCGTAGCGATGAAAGACTTTTATGACTGCCCAGCCTACCCCTGAAGAACTTTTTCCTAGATTGGCTTCCCAATGAAGGAGGGAAGAAGAATAAACACAAAATGTCTATCGGTTTTAAGAGCACCAGTTTTGGTACAGCTCAGGAAGACAAGGACTAGGGCTCGGATCCCATGCATAAACACGTAACTTGCTTCTGACTGCAATACAACTAATAATGTAGCCAATGCCAACAGTAGATACCTACATTACCAGGAGGACGTTCAGACAAGAGATGCTGTCAGGTGTTTACATTAAGTGTTGTGTTTAGGTCAAGTGACCAAATTAGAAACCTACAGCCTTTCCACAGTACCATCACTGTTGAATTCAGTAAGTTCAGTCATACTTTGTTGAATATTATCAGCAACAACACAGATCTTTGATTCAGATTTTCTTCTCTCTTGCATTGTGGATAGGACCTCAGGGTACAGAGCTGAGCCTATGTGACTGTTCACTGCTATTTGAAATGGTGTCTTGCTCTCCTGTCCTTAGTTTGGTTCTCTGTTGTCCAGACCTTTCTCCTGCTCTCTCTCCCAGAGAGATGAGTCCCCGCATAGCAGCTCCTGTGCTTGCCCAAATACACAGCAAGCCACTGCAATTCACTCACTAGGCAGAAAACTATTTGTTCCCCCCTGAAAAATGAGTTAAATTGGGTAACTGCAAGGAGAGACGAGCATTAGACCCAGTGCAAGTGTGAGAGTGGGACCATGTGCCCAAGATAGAAAGGAAGGAGGTAGAAGCGCTGGCAGCAACTATTAGGTCATCTCACCTATTTCATGTAATTTGCTCTCCTAGGGATTATCAAAGTAAAAGCTAGGTTTTAGCTGTAATGAATAAGTGATAAGGACTGGGGTTATTTTGCTGTTTGTGGTCAAGGAGACTTTTGTTTCACTGCCTGTGAAAAAGTCTGCTGTTTTCCAGTATCGTGTCAGGGATAATTAGGAAAAATAGCAACATGAAAAGGCCAGTTGGTATAACATAGGCAGGAGAGAGTTCCCTTGAGAAATACAAGCAACCTCACATGCATAAAAAGGCAGAATTAATTAGATAAACAAACACTGGGAAAGAATACAGAAACCACATGAGACTTAGCAATTATTATGCCAAGGAGAAAAAACAAGATCAAAATCCACTTTCAAAATAAAGGTGGCATTTCTATTCAGAAAATTTGTCTTTTTTTCTTGCCCCACATCCTGAAGGGCAGAATGCTGAAAGTCAGAAGTCACAATATCTTTTGTTATGCCTTAGATACTCACAGTTAATTTATATCATACATCGCCATAGTAAATGAATATTGCTTTCTCTTTTTCTCTTCCAGTGGTGTTGATGCTCAGCTTTCGCAGATAATTAATCAATTAGGCTACTTACAAGGGCAAGGGACCACAGAAGTGCTTATGGACAAGAAATGCACAACAGAGTGATTTAATGGTCCCAGCTCTCTCCTGGTCCAAGTGGGCTTATGCAGTAGAAGTTGAGTAAGACAAGGAAGGGAGCACAGGCATCTAAGTCTGCTTAATCCAGCTCCTCCAGGCACACACGGAGATCTTTAGGACAGGGATTGTTTCTTTCCTGGTCACGTAAACAGACTTCTTGGGTTATTGGGAGCTTTACTTGAGACATTTGCTGTGACAGTTATGGAGATGGGGGAAATGAGCATCTGATCCCATTGACACATGTCCAGGGTTGTGTGATGGGTGTGCTGGGTCCCATAACAGGAGATGGCTCACACAGCCATCTTTGATTGACATTTCTCTTTATGGGCCTGAAAGCCCATAGTTCAAAACTGCCCCTTAGTACCCTTGTTGTTAAGCTCCTCACAAGGCTCCCGAGCCATCCACCCATAGAGCATCTCTCCTGTCCTCCTTCCACCCACCCTGTCACCTAGCAGCGGCTGTGTCATTCTCACAGGTCTTGAGTACAGCAGCTTAGCTCTTTTTCAGCTCCAGTCATCCAGAAAAGTGTCACGGAAACATTTTGCCTTAACATTGTACTGTCCAACTAAAAACCTTGTATGTTAACCCTGATAGTTTGCTAGTCTAGATCTCTCAGTTGATTTCACCCTCTATAAACAATGTCTTGAGCATTAATCCTTAATTTATAACAATCCACTTCACACTACTCTTTTAGTGATTTATCTTGTCTTTTCTTCTAACCTGCTAAAACATTTGAAGATACAGTTTCTATGAAAGATGTTATATGAAATAAAGATGAATTTTCCTGTATTTTTTATCTTCAAGCAATGAAACAATGGCAGGAATTAAATCAGCAGCCATTACGAAACATGAAACAAAGTTGTTGAGAAGGATTACCTGATTAAAATACTCTTTCCTCTCTCATAATCTAATATCAGCTACAAAACCAGACATAAACCAGCCAGGAAATTATTTCAAATTGTTTTACAAGCAAATCTTTACTAGAATGACCGATCTACTGAATGAAATAACCTATATCAAGCAGTTTCTATGCACTTAAACTTCAAAACTGGAGTCACTGTTACAATGCAATCAGAGAATGAATTTGATACATGTGTAAATGAACACATATTAAATTCAAGATAATTCATTCGCTGATGAGCAAATGCTTGTCTTGACTTAGTTACAAATGTCACCACTGATGATGCACTATCAGGTCTCCTGGGAGTTTGGGAGAGTCTTAGTATTCCAGCTGCTGCAGCTCAGCAGATGTTACTGAAACAATGTTGGAAGAAAGACTGAACTGTCCTTAGTTCATATTTTCCAAGACAAGAAACTGAAGGCAACCTAAAAAAGTCTTTTTTTAAAATTTCCTGGGGCAGGGTTAGTTTTATTATCCATGATCTTTCAAGCCCCAACAGCATCTGAGGACCCCTGTTTCTATCCCAGTAACTATTACCACACAGTTACTGATTTCCTTCTAGCAGCATCACATTTCAGCTTCCCTCAGCTCATTCAAACAGCACTGCTACATCTTCTCCCTAGTCTGAGCTGATAAAACCACCCTATCCTCTGCAATTTCAGCAGATACAAAGCAGGTACAAAGCTCCACCCTTGTTTTAGCTGCTTTTAAAGAGATTTGTTTAAATAGCTGCTCTACTTTTCTTTCAGCTCATTAAATAGGTTACTGACTGTATGATGAAACCCTTTCCTCCTGTTTCACCTTCTTAGTGGCAGGTAGAGGAGCACTGAGGCTTCCCAGGGCAGTTCCAGATGCAGTGTTGTTTTACAGGCAACACCACTCTCCAGCCATCTGGAGATGGTTTTGTGAGACCTTGTCTTCCTGTTCCAAAGTCACTTTCAGAATCAGAGTTAGGACACTCAAATTATTACTTTGCTTAAGAGCTGTCTGTTGGCAATTTACTTTTTCATTCATTTCCATCTTTTTACATCTGTATGGCTTTTAGCCTTTTATTTCATAGGGGTGTGCTGACATAGTCTATGGCAAATCACATGAACTGATTTCAGATTACTTTTGAGACCAAAATTATTGGAGCATTTGGTATTATATCCTCATGACTTGATTCATTTGTACAGATATAAGTATAGACTGGGGAATACCATAAAATGGGAACAGCATGCCTTCACAAAGCAGATAAGTCTGGTTTTGGGAATCAGCAAGGCTCTGATCAGTAGCGGTGTGAGGCCTCAGCATGTATTTCTGAAAGGGGAATGTTGTGGTGCTCCATCCAAAGGGAAGCGGTAGCTTTTATCCAGGCTGCTGGATGGTGTCAGTTGTGGTGTTTTGTATGTGCTGAAGCTGCTAAGAAAACTGTAGTAAGGGGTAGATTTCATCAATCATAACTCCAGCTAACTAAAATGTAAGCATTTGTCTCAGGTGGTTATTTGTGCTCCTCTATAGTCAATGGAGAGCCAAGCACTTCCAGATACCTTTTACACCTATTACGGGAAGGGGTGAATGATCTTCTGATGGTATCTGTCTTTTTTTTCTGCTGGCTATAGAAGGAGCCTAAATATCTGTATTGCCAAAACCAACATCTTGCCAACACTTCTTTCATTCCCCTGATGTTGGCTGCTCTGATATTTGCTTTCTGTTCACTTCACTACTTTCCTTCAGTCACTTGTCTGGGACTTGCAAGGGAGGAAGGGGAGTAATGTGGAAGGAGAGAAGGATGCCCAGGATTTGATGGAGTGATGCTATACAGAAAAGAAAACAAAATCAGGTGGATTTCACAGCTGGAGAAATGCCAATAATGGTTTTGGAACCCAGTCTAAGCAAGTCTTAGTGCAGCAGGCACTTCAAACTGGTAAGAATTCCCCTTTGCAAACATCAACAAAACCATGTGTCTAAAAATGGTTAAATAAAGTTAGAGATTTAAGGATATCAAATATAGTCAAGAAGCAAAAACTAAATACAGCATTCAATGAAAAGGGGACAAAAATGAAACAAATTTAGATTCACTCATCAGCAATGCTAACATTACAGGAATCCATCACATACTTCCTTTCATGGATGCTTTTATTGATTAAAATGGAACAAGCTCATTTCATCACTTAAATAGAGGCTGCTGTTCAGAGCAGTATGAGAACAATAAACCAGAAATAAATAGCATACTGTGTGTCATAAAAGTTTATGTTTCCTGTAAAAAAATGGTGGAATTGACAGAAATCAAGACTACTACAGCTAAAACTGTTTTAGCAGCAGGAACTTCTTTTACACCTAAGTCTGTTAGCATCTTTACAAAACCTCTTTCACATTATATTGACTGCACTGGTTTCTCAAGACACACTCAGTCTTTATCAGAAATGTATTACAATTAAATTACAGGCTTGCATGTAGTGAAGTTCTACCTGTAGAGTCTGGAAGATTGTATCTGGCCAACAGGGATACTCATCTATTTAATTTAATACAATACTATCAATACTCATCTATTTAATTTGATTTCATTCTTCAAAAAGAGGATAAGAATCTACCTGCCCTTTTCATAGGGCACACCCAACCTTACCTCGTCCACCATGCACACATGAGCACTTATCCTGAATTTCTTACTGAGACTTTTTATCCCTTGCTCCTGCTTGCTAGGGAGAGTAATTGATTTCTTCATTGTTCCACAAACACATTTAATGGGTCATAAAGTTTACTTTTGTTTTCAGTTGTGTGACAGTAATGCTTTCATTACATAAACAGCACAAGAAAACAAACTGGCAGTTAAAAAATGTCCTATTATGCACTTAATTCTGTGAGCTGTTTCCATGCACAGACCTTAAAGGAACCACATCCCAAAAGACTTTCACTCAGTAAGATTGAGGACTGAAATTCAATTAGTGACTTGAGTCGCTGACTCAAAAGAACAGTGCCAACCTTTAAACACTGGAATACTAAAACATATATATATATGTACATATCTTCATTCTGTCTCTATAAATTTTAAGCTTCCAGAAGCTTCCAGAAGCCATTCTGGTTGCCAAGAAAGCTCTCCAAGTAGAAGCTGAAGCCTCTTTTTTTCCAAATCTTTCCCTTTGTAATAAATTTTCCATTTCTTTCTACCAATGGCAACAGTGAAAACATGGGAGTTTCTTATCTGAGACTCAGTTAATGCTGTGTTAGTTCACAAGCTGGGGAACCTGGGGTGCATAAGACCTGGGACTGGTACAACCAACAGACCAAGATAGGGTCGTATGAGAGGCAAAGAACTGGGGTGCTAGGCTGCAATTGGACATACCAGGTAGCATCTCACTAGGTATAACAGACACAGCCCTGATGATGGAACAGAAAGATTACCACAGACCAGACCATACTTCCCATTACAGCTTTGCTAGCTGCATCCTGAAAGACACACCTATGAAGAGTGCAAAACGCACTTTGCACAGTAAAAACATAGTGTCAGTAACATAGTGGCATAGACTTTTTCTGTTGTCATGTCAAGTATTTACCAGCATCTCAGCTGCAAATACATATATATATATATATATGCGAACATTTATTACATGCTATATGGTTATAATGTCATAGTACATCTATGTATTATAATATATACATCTAAATATTTATATATATAA